CACCGAGGGCGAGGTTGACGTTATCTGTCGCTTGGAGGACGTTCGATCCCATTTGTACGCGAAGGCAAGGGGTGGAGAGTACCGTGAGACGCAGTACCTTCTTCGGAAGACCGTTCATCCGTGTACTCATGAAACTCAGCAGAGCCGTAAAGCCAAGCCGCGGGGGGGAATTCAGGGTACTCTTCGCGATATGTGGAGGGAAAAGCAGTCAGGGTAGCTTTTGGTCTCCGACGGGACAGATACATTTACAAGTACGGGTTTTCCTCGGTGCGACGCTGAAATACGCTCGTTTTTTTTAGTTTCGCAAGAAAGAGATAAATATTTGTCTTGCTTGGACTTTCCTCCTACTTCCGCTGCCGGCTATGAAGTACATTAGTTGGCCAAGTACAAACTTGTGTACTGTAGCTGTTTTCAACACGTCCCCGACTGCTGTACACCTCATTGTAAATATGTTCGACGTCAACAAACGGTTGCCAGTCGTCTAGGCGATGCTCACTTTTCGTACCACACCCTTCCCTCGGAAAAGGCGCGCAGTTTGAGGTACAGCATGCCTCCATTGGCCCCGGGGACGTTGAGCTACCGTCCCCTGAATTTTAAGGACGGAACCCCGCTCTAACGACGCTATTTTTCGGGGAAAACCATGTGCGTCCTTAACGCGGGCTCAACTGCTGTAGTTGTTGTTGTTTCTCACATTAGCTCTATAGTCTACAGAAAATGGGGAGCCCGTGGTCTCAAAACCCGGCACATACAACGCCGCGGGCAAACAAAACAAAAATAGGGAACAAACCACTCGGAAAAAGAAAACAAAATGATAGAAAGAAAAGAACAGGTATCGCACCGACTGTTCGAGAAAAGAGCCCTCGGAAACCGATCAAAAAACGACAAAAACAAAAATAACGGAGGACGCTTCCCACACCCGCCCAAAGGAAAAATCAAAGGGTAACGTACCAGCACCAGACACTACGCACCAGGGCATGGGAGTAACGGAGCAAACAGGACAAAGAGGCGGCAGATGGGCAGACAGCCAGACGTACAAAAACAAAGGCAACAGCAAAGCGAGATCACGGTACCCAACACAGCAGAGTAGGCAGGGAAGACATGAAAACAGAAACACAGCACAGAGGCCGAAGGCAATAAAAAGAACATACATACATACACAAAGGAGCATAGCATACAGCAGGGAGGGAAACAGGGCGCAACAACATCAGCCGGGTACATAGTTCGCCACAAGTGCTGCCTCGGCCGCCCTGCTCGCT